TAATGATTATGTTGCCATCAACGTTCGCGATAATATATATTAACATGAACCGACTTTTTGACGCCCAGTAGTATAATGAGCATGCACATATCTTTGTTGGAAAATAATTGAATCGATACAGGCATTAATTATTAAATTTTCATATGTCAGGAAGTACACTCAATAAATGTTGTTTAGATTGATTCCGTTTTTCCAAAATATATATGCATTACATACGCATTCTAATGATAAATAGATAATGGTAAGATGAATACACAATGCAATAACGTAGGCTGTAAAAATGTCACGCATGAAAGTCACAGATCAACATGAAATTTTGATATGCTGTCTACTTACACAACGTCATTCATGTTAGAATAGGTGCTAGCCCAGTCCATGGAACATGTGCTATCTGAAATAGATAAATGATTTTATTACATCTTAACGTAAGCAAGACAAAACAATGTAACAGCATGTATATGGTAAGCATGGCCATTGTAACTACTGTCGACACATCAACGATTTTAAAGACATTTCATAGACAAACTCAGTGTTTAACTTTTAGATCACGTCACAAAGAGTCGGGTAAGAAGTGGTTGGCGGTTTAAAATAAAGTTCTTTTGAGCACAAAATATTAATTTGAGTATAAAAACAGGAGTTTGAATACGGTTCCCGGATATGGATTTCAAAAACAACCAAATATACAATGCAATTTTACACTAACAAACATACTGTTTTTTATAGTGTTCTATAATGATAATAGTTGACACATCGTAACAATTTGTTGCAAAATATTTGGTATTTATAAAACTAATGATTGGCATCTTAAATCAGGTCTTAAATGTTATACGTCAGTAATTGCAATATACAGATGGACTGTGCACGTACCTTTCCGCGAGAAAGTTTCCTCGTCAGCAGTCTGGTCGATTTGGAAACTGAGACGTGATGTTACTTTATCCCTTACATCATTGTTGATCTGTACTGTCTGTTCAACGGACATTTCAGTCGACTGGTCATATGAATCAACTGACTTTGTGCTTTCCCTTCGTTCAATACTTACCATAACCTCATTTTCTTTTATTAACCCTAGGTCATCGTTTGTATTGACCTGAACGACATCGTCGTCACATTCAACCGTGTGCTCACTTTGGTCATTTGTTGAATCGTCACATTGTCCTATTGTCATATTACTGCCATTGTCATCTTCTGTGTTCTGTGTGCCATCATCATGCTCTATGTCCATATTGGATAACTGGCGGACAGTTGTCATCTCCTCATCCTCTTGGTCACGGTTGGAGTCTTGGGATTCAAATGTTGTTTCAGCATTTTCCTCAGTTTGTGGAGTTTCTATATCTGACGGAGGAGGGTCAGATTCGTTAGTGTCACACGTGTCTGATGTGTTCCCCGTAGCATTTTCAATCTCTGGATCATCATTTTCTTCCTTCTTCTCTATGTCGATTTCAGAAGGTGATGCTATTGACACAGTTTTATCTTGATGTTCCCTTACGACAGATGAGGCTGTTCTAACACTGGCTGCCACTACCTGTCGCATCAATCGTAATTCTTTGTACACATCCTTCATAGTAAGTTTTTTCGGTCGCTGTTTACATTCTTTGTCATGTTCTTCAATTGATACATCCCCATTTATTGTTGATATGTCATTATCAGTTTTATTTGTGTCTTTTTGCTCTGAGAGAATTTCTTCTAACATGGGTTTTTTCGTCAACACTACATCTGACAATTGCCTGTCAAGTTTGGGCCGACGACTCCATCGATCCTTCATGCTACTCAGTGCTTCTGAAAGTTCTTTTTCTCGCGCCATGTCACCCATATTGTTGTACGTATCCGTGCAGAATATTGCCCGCCTACGATAGCGCCTCGCTTTGGAATGTTCCCATGTTTCCTCTATGTATTCTGTGTTCTTCTTCGCGGGATTATCTTCCGTTTCCGGTACTACGGTAATCGTAGAATCGATGGATGACATCTGTCTACTTTCTAGTTGACCTGAGCTTGAACTAGGTTGTGGATCTGCTAAATATAACAAAACTATATGCAATATAAACACCAACGCACATAAAATCAAACTTGTTGAGTCAATCACTTTATGATTTATATAAATACAGAAAAAGCACTATACAATACGTTCACTAAAATAGAATGCATACCATTTAGTTGCTTATGCTGGTTTCCGTTGTTTGTAGAGCACTCTCCTGCTATGCTTGGTGCTTCTATCTGGTGATTGACAGGCATATTGTGCACAGTGATGTCAACCGAGTGCACCGCCATTGCGTTTCCATTGACAGTCGGCATGTCACAATAGTTTTGCATTCTAGAGACTATATTCCGGCCCGGATCATCATCAGTGTTCCCTGCACCTTTTACTCTTGACGAAGATGGAATGTGTTCATCATTATCTCCCTTTGTGCAGTTGTCGTGAAAAGACCCGTTTTCTTTAATCTCAACGTTAACTTCAATGTTTTGTTGTTGTTTTCCTCCACCACCTGAACCTCTCCCAGTAATGTCTTCTGAATGTTGCTGGTTTTCTGGGTCTGTCATGTTTGGGTGAGGATCGCCACAATTACGTGAATAACGATGATAAATCACTGTGAAAACAAGAGAAAATATTCAAAATATCACAAAAACACTTTTAAATGATTCTTTTTACGTGATATCGATTTGTTTATCATTATGAAAGGGTCACGTCAAAAGGCGCAAGATATAATACAACACTCTGGGTATCTTTGTATTTAATGCATTATTATTTACATTCGAGCTTATCTCTCAATAATTTTCAATCATTTATTGATTTGTCTACTTTTTTTTCATGTTTCCTAATGTAATCAGATAAATGAGATGCAGAGACATTATGAATCTTCTATTTCGGAAGGACTTTCTTCACATTAAGAGCTAAATCCAATATAGAGGAGATGGTTATGTCAATACTGAGGACAGGAAATTTTACATCACATTGTAGGTTATGGTAGTAAAGCGACAATTATTGTAATACAGTACTATGTATACATATATAATGAGGTCAAGTATGTCTCAATAGTCATTGTTCGCTAAAATGGATACGCCAATCAGGATAAAAAGAAAATGCATCCTCCTGTAAATGATATTACTCAAATCATTCGACATCAACTTCGAATTGGTACGAGCTGATCGGTTTTAATTTTGTGAGAGACAATTTAATGAATGCGTACCGCAATTAGCATATATGTTAATTGGGACATAGAAACATTGTAAGGGACACTGACTATTTTAGAACCTGACATTTAATAAAAATGAATAAAATTGTAAATACGTTAAAGGTAAGAATACATAAATCATTTGTTGAGTTGTTGTTTTGTATCACATCCACAGAATCCTTTGGATAGCCTAAGTGTTTTGTTAGGCATGCTGACTTTGTACATTTAAATGGAATTCTCCATATTTAACGCGTTTTGAAAAAAGTACATAATGTTATGATAATTATTTATGAATATGGTTCTTTTATATTTCTTAGCTGGATGCTGTTGGTAATATGTTCTATGGTAAATTTAAATCCGCTAGTCAGTGATTCAACTTCAGGGGGTAAACGATATCATTTGTAATGTTTTGGGTATCTTTATCATGAAAACTGTAGTAATATGAAATCATGATTATTGAGCATTGTGGTCCTTTATAAAATTGTGGATTATAACTAAATAGACGATGAGGCTATATGATGTAGTATAATGTTTACTTTATTTGACTTACCGTACATACAAACAAAATTTCAAACAGGTGCTTCATTCATTGGTATTTTTAGCAATTATTTTATGTACAGGTTAGTACTGAAGATTATATTAACATTTAAATACCGGGTGAGAGTACATTTAAACTGTCTACCTTGTGTGTATTCAGACACCTTTTATCCCCCCAACTCCCACCACCAGATAACCGTATTGACATAAGCTCCTCAAATTTGTCAGTTCCTTTTAGTATCACAATGCTACCTGAACGTTAATATCAAGGTAAATATGAGAAATCGCTGGCATTGCACACTAAGTGCTTGTCAAACACGAACAAAAGTATTTAAATAATAAACATTTAGTCAAACTCACATCTCGTCAACCCCCCAACGCTAAGTAAAGAAGTATGACAGTAACAAAACTCTCGGTCGTTGCCAGGAATGAATCTTTTCTCTCTTGGTTGAAGCATACTTAAAAAGAAATGTATCGAATTTCCTGGTCATATATATTTGCTTGATGAATATCTAAAAGTGGACTGCATAACCACTGCTCGCCAGTTTCTATGATATCGCATGCGTTGTGTGACACTGAGACTAAAAGCGGTACACAGTAGTATGGGAATCAGGAGCTGTACAGATTAGGATGTGAACATCGGCTACTCACACAAGAAAATCTCCAAGTTTCAGTAAGTAGCTACAGTATATGATCATTACTTCATTTAAAGTCGTATGATCTGTTTTACGGCATTTCATTTCATGTGTCATTCGCGATTTTAATAGTCAATTTTATATGGAAGCTGTTATAACAATAGATAGCATGAAACCAGAGACATAATGATTTGTATTAATTATACACATGGTAGAACTGGAAATCGAAGTTTTGTGGTTAAATATTGACATTACACGGTAAATAGTGAACACAGAAAGAAATAATACTAAAAATGCAGCAAAACTTCAAGCCTGTGACACTTTTATGCAATTTTCGAAAAAAATAGGTTAAATAACGGAACTGTTGTAATCACGATCTCGCTAGCCATGTATATTTCATTAACAGTATATATCACACGCAGTAACAACATTCTTGATACCAATCGCTAGCCACGGTCGTAACGGTAACATTTAAATAATAAATATAGGATTCAGTAACCGTTAAGAACAATAATAAAGACAGGAGTTATACAAATATTTCTTACAGGAAATCATCAAGGCTTTAATGATAATGTGGTGACCATCTCTTTGGCAACGCACACGTAAAGACATGTAATTTCATCCAATATATGTTGATAAATAGAAGAATAGCAGAACGCAATATCATTCACCAACAAGGTTTTTCAATACTAAAATTACATCAATACCTTGAAACTGGTATATAGCATGATACGAAAGATGATGAGGGGTACTTTCCTGTTATTCTATAGATTTTTAATGAAATTTTAATCATATGGTTTATATCGATAAAAAGTATCATCAAAATCAGATACACTTTTACATACATGTATAATATACTATATTGCGAAAACATCATTACATATTATCAAATTTAACGGGAAATCAATAAGGAGTAAAATTTAAAAAAAAATCATTTAAAAATCGACGTGTAATGAAGTAGGAGTTGTCGCTGAATGTGACCTATTATGAACTCGTACATTAGCTCCAAATATATTCATCGATTGTAATTTCCTGAATATCTCTAGGCAAATACCCTCTGCTTTTATATTACGCTCTAATTATTTATAATTCTTAATGTGATTTTCACCGTGCTTATTTGGGATAATGCTTTGTATATGTAAATTGAGATTTTCCTATGAAAATGTATAGCTATTCGGTCTGTCGATCATTGCGGTATGGACATAATATACATATAGGAGTGAATTAGCAACCACACAATATCTGTAGTCCGTAGTTAGTTTTCTCTATTATAATGTACAGTGCTTACTACAATAGTGTATAGGAGGAGCATTATTGCTGAATAGAATACACATAAGGCCGCTATTCACATTTTAATTAGTTTAGTGTAAAGACTAGTGACAATAGTAGACTGATCGACGGGTATACCGATCAACGTATGAAGTACACGTAATATTTATTTACACAGAAAGTTAACCCATCATATTCTCTAAAATCTTATAATATTTGCAAATTTTCAAAATCGAAAGTTCCTTTAACGTTTTTGTTTCTGTACACATACGTAAATGCTCTGATAACGTCCACCTACTTTTCTCCTATTTGCATTTGACATTTACCAAGAGATCCGGTTAAGATCACAGAGCTTTACAGATGTAGATGTTGTTCAAAGGTTTTTACCGACCTCTCTCACTGTAAGTATATGTACATGTAAACTTCATACATAACGGAACAACGGCAACGATACCGTAGACATTTTGACAATTGTCAATATTTTGATTTACATGTGCCTATACGACTCCTGGTTACCGATGTAGATGCTGCTACCTGAACGATGAATAATCAGGATCTCGGTGTGATATCCTTGTATTGAAGGCGAATATGTGTGTATCTTATATTTCTTAAATTATGATTAACCAGGTAAGTGAATATTTATCTAACTTTATTTCATATGAACATTTCAGAATATACTGTTAAATGTAATACACTTTGTCAAATTAATAAATTATTATTTAGCCAAGTCTAGCCATGGGAAATCACACATATTATATATCTGTACACAGATTAATGGGTTAACCTATATCATGCCATGCTTCAGAACACCCATATCGAAACTTGGCAGCTATTTGAATATCTGTTTAATGTTGACACACCTGTTGAATTTAAATCAGACAGGTAGAATGATAATCTATCTATAGATCGATAATCTGCATGTGGTGTCATATGGCCACATTCAACTGTACACTGCGGAGATTACCGACAGTGTAACCTGATAATGATAATGTATCGAATCAGATTAACCTCATTATATCATTTTGAATGTAGACACATAGTTGTATGATATAAAAATAAAGAAAACATTGAACGGAAAGAAAACCAGATATTTAAGATACATCTAACATCAATGATTACCAAATAAAAACTCAGGCTATAACAAATTATTATAAACAGAAACTTAATGAATATCCAGTTTCACTCTGGAGGATTATGTATTTATAAGTCATATCCATGCCTCTTTTTGTATAAAAGATATGCTTCAACCTTTTCATTTATAAAGTATGTGTCATGAATAAATAAAAATGAATACGTTTTCAATAGCAAAGTATGTCAATTCAGGTTGATTTAGAGCCCGTAGGTAGAGGTATGAGCTACTCTCACGAGGCTTATTCGCAGAATTTGCGGCGATACAAAAATAGATGAATTTTCTAATTCTAATTCCACTATCAAACAATTCACCTGACAACAGTTTTTGTCTACCATAGCAACAAAGGTCACCGAAGGAATTCAAACCATTGTCTGATGGCCCGTAAAATGCATTTTAAAATAAAACAGAAAAGGAATTCTTTTTAATTTGGGTTTGTGTATTGACTGTTTATGCTGGGACTTAGCGAGTCATTGTTGTTGTCATTTTGAGAAAGGACCTCTTTATTTAGGGCATACATAGCTTAACTTCATGGTAAACTAGAACCAGATAGGCTGATATTGTTAAACTGAAGTTAATCACAGCTTTGATGAGCTGAGCAAGCTTTGTAAAAGTTGCTCGGGCGAATGAGAGTGTCAAATAGGAACTCACTTTCTCGTAAATAAGTCCATGAACAATAGGAACTACCTGTTGTTATTGATCGTTGTTATAATAGGGTATGTTTTAAATATTCTTGGTGACATATCGTTTCTCAAATATTTACCTTTCTATTTAAACCGATCAAGACATTTAAATGTT